TTTGGAGCCAAGTCTCTCCATCGGCGTTTGACGACATCTAGTCGATGGTGGCAGAGTTTTACTCTGTCACGGTGAAGATTACCGGGAACCTTCTTGCCTCCTTTTACTATAGCGGCTTTTGCCGCATCGTGCTCGACGTCCATAATTACGTCACCTGTCTCTTGTTTTTTTGGGTTTTCATAGTTATCCATGCTATTTAAATAGTCCTCCAGAGCAAAGGTCGTCTCCGAACGCGGTGCCTTGGAAGTGGAGGGGTGGTCACTCCTACAGCTACCTCCATTACTGTAAGAGCTTGTGACCATTGGAGCGGGAAAAAAAACATCCGCTCCGGCCGTGCACCTTCTCCTTCATTGGCATCCTCTTGCTCCCGTGGGTGCGGCACGTTGATGCGGAGTTTTCACGTACGGTGCGCTATATGGATCATCCACACATCTCTTTCGAGCAGTGTCCCCTCATCCTCTTCCGTATGTGGACCCTAGGTCAGATGGTGTGACCAACCAAAAGGGAGTTTTTAATTTTTTCCACTATACACGGACGGTGGCTGTTACTCCTCAGCTCCGATGCATATTTGGTCCGCGAGGGCTATTTTATTTCGCCCCAATCCGCCGATCTTACGATCGGTTAGGATACCCCCTATCCGCCACCTGGGGACGCGCCCGGTAGGAGTTGGCTTCTCCCGATGGGGTGTATGTATGTGTGTGTATGTGTGTGTATGTGTGTGTGCGTGTGATGTGGTGTGCGTGTGAGTGTGTGCGTTGGGTGTGTGTGCGGAAACAAATTTCGTCGTCGATTTCGGGAACACCGATCAACCGATTTAAATAATTCAAAAAACATTCGATTTATATTGATAAGGAGACGTGCTGATTAGGTTTTGGCGAAGGCAGGTCTAGTCGTTCCGAAGATACGGGGCAAAAAGTGCCAAAAACGGTAACTCAGTTTTTGAGAGAACGGAGCATTCTACTTGTATTGACAAGATGAAGAACTGATCAAATTTTCATAAAGGCAGGTCTATCGGTTTCGGAGATCTAATGAAAAAAGTAAAAAAAATGACATTTGGCGGTCAAAAATGATCATTAGACATATGCACATCAAATTATCAGATATTTTATAGAGATTTTAACAATAAGTATAAATTTTGTTTGCATTCCTATGGGTTCCGTACCAATGTTTATCCGTTAGACGGCGACGCTGCGCTTACGCCTTTTACATTTTGTCTCTATGCAGTTAAAGCAGTACGATTGCTTTGAAAAAAGTTCAGAATTTCCAAAATATGTCAAAATAAAGAAAACATTTTTTTTCAAAAAAAAAATTTCCAAAAAAAGTAATTTTTTGTCAAAGTCCTAGTTTCTCAAAAATCTAATTTTTTGAAGTAAAATTTTTTCAAAAATGTTAATCGTTTTTAAAAAATAATAATATTTGGTACGGGAAGTTCCAGCAATTTGCCTTAAGGCACGATGCCATGCGCCCCACTAGTTATATATTAATTTCAAGTTTAGTTATAGTAGAAATTCAAAGACGCGATTATTTAATCAATCTTTTTTTATTACAACCGTAATTTGTAATAAAAAGTTAGCTCTGGGATATGCAATTTTTAGCAAAAATCGAAAGTTCCAAATTCTTTTATTTAGTTTAAAATATAGTTAAAGAATTCAAAAAGACCATAGCTAATCGGTCTTTATTAATTACAACTGTTTTTAACAAACAGTTTAGCAACTTTAGCGAAAATCTAATGTAGTAGTATCATATTATAGTACAGTTAATCAAAATTATAGTTAAAATTATTTTTTTGTGGTATGTAGTGTATTTATAGTATATACTATATCAATGTCACTAAGTTCGTTCAGTTCTCAAACAAATTAATTATAAGAATGAATTCCATGATAATATTGGCATTTATTTACAATAATTAGAAATATCCTTTTTTCATGGCATTGTCATGCCTCTAATAATGTAATATATAGTCAGTCTAATATATTAGATAAATTCTAATAGAATAAAAAAATCTTAATCGTAGGGTTGCCTTCCAAAAAACTTTAATCGTAGGGTTGCCTTCCAAATATTGTCAGTATGTATCAAACCTCTATTAAACCTGAGTAAATATATTGATTACTCTTTGCTATTAATACCTATAGATATTTGTCACAATTATTTACACAAAATTATTCAATTACAAAAAAATTAAATTTAATCCCCTAAACTTTCTACTTCATCCGATACAGTTTGTTTTCACATCGCGTCATTCACCAGAATGGATATTAAACAAACATAATAACTTTCATTATATTCTAAGAATGCCATAAACTTTTACGATCTTGGGTGGTACAAAACTAATAGTTATTCTTGTAAAAAATCTGTTTCAGATATCTGAAATACGACACAGGTATTTTGCACCTCGCCTGATATCAAATTTCCAAAGAAATAAAAAGAATATTTTGGCAACAATGAGTGTCAAATTTACATAAAGTTTTATGTTTCTTAAATATATTGACACAATATTATAAAATTTTTATGATTTTTGTCACGCCAAGGATAGGAACATAGATAATTAAAATAAACAAATAAACATAGTTGACAATAAATATTCATTTTAATAATAATCTATTCATTGATAAGCCCTAACTAAATAATATGTTCAAACCAATAAGTTCAAATAAGAACAAATTTGTATAGAATAGAATTTCTTTAATTTTTTTATTTATTTAACTTAATCCCAAAAATACGCCAAATATTAATTTCACTAATATCATTTTAAATTTTTTCACAGTTATTTTGATGAAATGGGTAAAAGGCAAAGAAAAATTGAATTTAAATATGAAATCGAAGTGCATCCATATTAAAAGATAAAATAGTGAAAGAAAAATCAAAAAAACAAAGTTTGCAAAATAAACAAAATAAGATTGAAAAGTATGTTTATACGTTTTATAACATATGTGTATGTTCATTTCTTAATTAAACTAATGGAAGAGCGATTGATATGAATTGTAAAACAAATGGCGTTGTTCCAATTAATTATTGTAATTAAAATAATAATTAGTAATTAAAAATCGTTGCAGAAGCAGATGGCATATTGATTAGAAGATTAGAATTAGTTCAATTCTACTAATTGGATTGTCGATTAAATACCATTCGCTTATGTAGTTCAATTAGCTAATAGTTAGGGTCGTTACTTTGAATGTAATAAATGTCAAAGTTCTATTTATTCCATAATAATAAATTGTTAGATTAAGTGGATAAGTATAAAATCAATTTTAAATTTCTGTCTATCGAAATTTTTTTACAACAATTTATGATCATCTTTTTTAATTGTCCATACTCAGTAATAGATTTTATTAAGAAAAAAATTATTGATTATCAATAATTAATAATTTAGTATTGAATGTTGAAGAAATACTAATTCGTATGGTTTTTGAAATTTTTTTCAATACTTATTAAAATAACCTGAGAATGAAAGATAATGTATTCTTCAATTAACTTTTCCTTTATTTGCATGCATTTCCTATTTTTCTTTCACTTTCCAGTCCAATAAAAAAACAATTTCTTTTAAAAACTAATAAATACAAACTCGTTTAATTCTTCATTTTATATATTAAAATGCAATTTTTAAAGTTATATAGCAGTTCGTACTTACTAAAATAAAAATACAAATTTAAAAAAGGTATATATATGAAAAATAAATGAAACAAGAAAAGAATATATTATAACTAATTTATTGATGGGCAAAAGTTGTCTAAAAATTGACAAAAAATATTTGAAGGGCCGCATAAAGCTCGCGGACCGCTGGTTGCTCATCATTGCTGTAACTCATTTTGTATAATAGTCACTTCCGCAAATATAATCCCCTTGTCATTGTTTTCTGCAGTTAGCAAAATGCTGCTGGGAATAATAAATCAAATCGAAAGCCATTTAAAGTGCATAAATTTCAAATATATATTCAGAAGGCTCATTTATTCTAGTTCATGTAGATACAATTAATAACATAATTGTGATAGATCGGAGCCGCTAGCAATATGATTTATTACCTCGTTCCAGCCAAAGACATCTTCAGTAAGTTATTTGAATGAAATAGGCTATATTCATAATTGCATTGAATTAGTCAGTTTATAATTAGATTTTGTTTTATAAATGCAAAGCAAGATTTTCTAAAACTTTCTGTAGGGTAAGTGACAAAAATGGTATTTCAGTTTTTGATAAAACAGAGTGCCCAATTTAGTTTATTCAAATACATTGTACTTATATTGACGAAATGAAAACTGGTCAAATTTTTATGGAGAAAGGTCCAGCGGTTTTTGAGATACGATGAAAAAAGTAAGTGCAATAAAAAGCACCATAGTTTGTTTAAGTATTTTGCAAAATAAAGACTGGATTTTTCCATAAATCAATAATTAAATTCACTAGACTTTGTGAAATCCATTAAAATGTTGTTTTATGTCTTAGTTTCAAAAAGCCATTAGCAAATAAAATTAATTCAATAATCACTTTAAGACACAATTAAAGAAAGTTGCCTTAGGGCCCCTGCTTAGGGACCAAAAGGCCTCACACGAATATTTATAAGACCGTTTTAAACTTGTAAATTTTTATTACGCGCACATAAAATGCATCATTAGTAATCGTTTATTAATCCAATCTAGAGAATTCCGAGCAGAATCAAATGGCTATTGACCTCTGATTCCTGCTTATTGTATATAGGTCGATTTTAAAATTGATTTCCATAGGAAACCGATGGCGTCCAAAATACTAATATATGCCATACAATGTATGTGCTTCGTTTCATTATCAGAAGACTTACTGTCGAGGTCGAACCATTAAATCTGTATTTATAGTTCAGTTCATAGATTGTAATAAAATAGATAATTTTGATTAGTAGGATCAGTTTGCGTAGTAAACAGACTGTAATGTGAATGAATCCAGTATGAATTAAATCAAAACTTACATTATCAAATGTACATCAATGTTTGCTAAATGCTATTGCTATAAAATGCACATCATTGTTTGCTAAATGCTATAGGCATAGAAAAACGATGTATTCTAATTGTCTATTCGAAATAATATTTTTTCTATAGTATATAATAAATTATGTATACCAATGATTTAGCTTATTTTAAAACTTTAACTTATCAATTTTCTTCTGTTCTTTTTTTACCTATGATGCAATTAGCTGTTTATTTAAAATTAAAATATTGCCACAAAAATC